AATACATCTCATACTACTGATTTACTGGTAGTCACGAAAACAATACTTAATTCGAAAAATAATAAAAAATAAATCCAATTAAAGTTGCTGGCAACATATTTAATTAGTCTTGAGCGTAAACCGCTGATCGGTTGGTTTCGATTGACTTAAGAAAGGATGAATAAAAGACGAACACGTGTTCTAGTATCTTATTATTGGAATCATCCCAAAAAAGTCTTACTTTCCAATCCACAACGAAATCCAAATCCAGGAAGGTTCAGTACTGGCAGTTTGCTTTTTGCTTTGGCGTCAACTTAATTAAGTGTCAAGTGTCTTTTTCACCGCATCACCTCTAGGCCACTGGATGAGAGTGAAGAAAGCACTGAACAGGTCGAGGAGCAGGCTCCTGTAATGCTTGAAGTACAGGAGGGACAAAATGCCGAAGTCTGGACGGAGCATGAGATTGCAGTTCGCGACCATCTGGAACAGGGTCAACCGCTGAGTGAAGAGACGCTTGAATGGCTGCTCAGCCGATTCTGGCGAGAGACGCCCTATAAGGACAATGGCTTTATTATAGAAGGCTTCCCTCGATCCCCCGAACAGGTACGATTTATGGCCGAGTCCAACTACCTGGTGGATCTGGTTGTCATGATGACAGTTGAATTCGAGAGTGTCATCGAGCGTCTGATGCCAAATAAGCTGATTCACTGGAAGGCTCGTGAGGCCAAGAAAAAGGAGAATAAACGCCGCTTGGCAGAATGGAAAAAAGCAAAAAGGGTAAATTGTACTATTTTCTTCTTTTTAGCTCAACTACTAATGCTATGATTAGTAGTAATACAATAATAATAATGATGATGATTAAATATGGCTACATTTACGGCTTTTGATATATCAACTAATGATAGTTGAGCTAATGATAGTAATCGTCTAGAATGATAAATAATGAAGCTAAAGCTATTTTGTCATACCTTCCATTTCAAGTTAAAGGGTAGATGTTAGGGTTGCGTAAATTTGCCTCACCGGAAGCCTTGTAGCTGGCACTGCTGGAATGAGGGAAAAAGACGTCGGCTCACTGTCCTGCGGCCTCTGGGAATCTGTGTTGGGCTTTCGCCGGTACTGTGACAGACAATATCAAAGCCGAAACCATTATTTAGGTAAAAATTCACCAGAATATTAATCTAAGAGTGGTAGGTGCTTTAGTGAATTGTATCGTAAATGGTGGTTGCTGTATCTGTCGCTATTGGGTCAAATGACTGAAGAAAGCTGAGCATGGATTCATTGGGGTTACAGGACAATGAGAAGAGGTCTTATTGGCACAATCCAGAATTCATAACGTCAAGGCAATCTTCTATTGCTTTTCGATAATGCCCATTAACTAATTCTCAACATTCACATTTTTAGCTAAACTGAAAGCCAGCTTCCCTTAACATGCAAATGCTATATACAGCGCGAGTAGACTATAATTAAATCTTGAATAGGAATTATTTCAATCTTAGGCCGCATGGGATCATGAAGGGAGACTTATATTTGAAGGTCCCCACAAAACAATAAGCTGGCCTCACGTCGCTATTGAAGTTAACATTACCTTGTCAATGTTATCACAAAATTATTTAACCTGCAAAATACTGCTACTTATAGTTTAATATTAGTTGCCTAAATATCTGAATATCAGAAAAATTCAATGGGTCTTTATCGTTGTACTCTATTGACAAATAATAATAATTTTAATCTCTGGCCAAGCTAAATGTTATTTGTAGGCTTTTGGCCCTTGTAAGAGTACCAGCAATTTGGAATTATATAAAAAAAAAGTAGGGTTTGGAGGAATCTTCTGATTTATAGAACTTGGGTGACCTCATTTTCGCAACTTTGTCTTGTGGTCGGAAGGACTTAGTTGAAGTTCTAAGTCCTCGGCCATAATTCCCAGCATCAGACCGTGGACTTGGTACACTCCCAGAGGTTTCGTTGGCGTCACTAATGAGTCTTGTCACTCCCGATTTATAATTTTCAAGCTTAATTTTATTTCAAGTGAAAGTTTTGGGTGAAGAGACTCAAAGGTTGATCCCGCTTTAAGACAATACCAGATTGGCTTTACTGGCCCCTACAATTCCAGTGAAAATGCACTAAGATTTCGTCCGTCGTATGATGGACCTACTCAAAGCAGGGTAGCATCCTTACAACCATATTCAGGAAAAATTTTCCGATCCAACCTGTTGAGTTATCGTGTAAATTCAATGAATATAAAAGCTTAGCATTTCGAAGTGTTTTGTGCGATTTTTTATCTGCATTTCTTGGTTCAACTGATCACATATTTAGTTGAGTTTATAAAGGCAAATAAATGGCTCCACCTACTTTCGGTCACGAGACACTCATTTTGGTTAGAACCATTCATCTTTGTCATTTATTCGATTACTGTAAACATTGGCATCTGTATCTCTTCAAATTTACTTGGCGAATAACTCGTCAACATCGAAAATATTTCAAATATATGAGCAAGTTTCGAGGCTGGCAATACTTTTTGAGCGTTGTTGCAAAGACTGATAGTTGAGTTCTCCAACAATGGCAAATGTC